TGATGATATGGCAAATTTTTACGGCGGTTTCAAGAATGTGAGAAATTAAGCTTTAACTAGGAGGCTCATCAATCACTTGGATGCATTAAAATATAATAGGGAGCTTTCAGTTCAAACATTGAACATAAACGAGTTTTATAGCTTTATTCCGTTCTGCTTTCATCTGCATCTGTAGAAAGTTGTGGGCCGTTTTTTCTTCACCGGCAGTGAAGGGGAGGGGAATGGGGGAGGGGGCAGGAGAAAGAAGAAGATGTACAAAAATGGCTGAAGACATTTTGGATACGGTTCGCGAATGCCTACTAAAGGGACAACAAATCAGGGAATTAAATAACAAAATTTGTGTGGGGGGCAGAAATTTCCTCAAAACTACTGAAACAACATTTCCAATAAAACAGTAAGTTCTCCTCTAAATTTCTAGTAACTACTCCTATAGAGGTTAGGGCTCTACTCCGTTTGTTTGTTGTTGTAATTCTTGTCACTCATTTTTATTTCTAGTGGCTTACCTGTCACTTTATTTTGTCAAATTCCTTTCGGATAATCTGTTTTTCCCGCTAACAATTGTGTGCTAAGATCGAACATTCATGGCTGTTTTTAATGAACTTGACTGAAGTATTTTGAAATGTTGTTTTCATTTGTCTATTTTAGAATCAAAGCTGGAAGAAAATCAAATAAATGCAGAAAGTTTTATAATCTTGAAGAAATTTCTTTTTTTATTGAAAATGTGGAGCTTCCTCATTATCAGTACACTAAGAAAGCTCAGGTAATACTTCTCCTGTTATTTTTGAAGCATTGTTGTAGAGAGAAACCGCAGAAAAGCTTATGCTTGGATCCTGTTGTTTTGTTTGTGTTGTGTCCTTAGGATAAAGGAGTAGAATGTGTGAGAAAATTAGATCGTAAGCCTTTGCTTACCCGCATTGGTGGTGAGACTTTACTTAAAAGAAAGTCAAGGCCTATTAAAAGGACCACTGGTGGCGGTAACAAATCAGAAGGTTTCTCCACACCTATACCTCTCGAGCCAGAACCTGCCAATCGAAAACAAGCCGTTGAAAAGGACAGTGGTGAAAGTGGTGAGCGTCAGAAACCTCATCTGAGAACATACTCAAGGTACGCTCATTTGTTACGGCTTAAGATAAAACAATTCTCTTGAAAATATTTGAATTATCTACCCGTAGAATGTGAACCACATACTGCTTTTTCCAGAAAACGCTCCTCACGTTCATCCTCAAGGCGTCAAAGTTTGGCAAGTGAGGTGAGATATATTGTGATTGTGTCACAAATTTGCTTTATTTGCAGAGCCATGTATTTTTGTTACAAACATGGATATGATTTTAATCTCTTTATTATGTAGGACCAACTCGATGTGGATACAGGTGTGGTCAATAATGACATTGCCGAGGAACTGATATCAATTAAGACTGAAAACAAGAACTTGGAATGCTCTCTGAGGAACATAATATCATTCCTTAAGGTAAGTCTGACATTGTGAACAACAACTTCCGTGAAGTTGTTTTATTGCAGCTTTGTCTGTATTTAATTGTTATTTTGTTCTGTAGGACCATTTGGGAGCAACCGAAGAGCAGCTAACAGCAATGCAGGAGTGTGAAAGCAACACAGTGGAGCTTAGCAATATTGCTTCAAGCATAAAAGATAAGATTGCTTATTCAGGTGTCTTACCAAATGGTAATACTCATAGTCCAGCTAACTTTGAATCCCCAAGTTTTTGTTATAAAGCTGTCAAACATCCCAGTCGAGGCTGGGAGATGAGAAAACTACACTTGTCATCTGTTTTATCTGGTCATGAAGATTTAAACTCAACAGAAGTAGAAGAAACCAAATCATCAACTTTTGAAGAGTCTCTTTCCAAGGGGACTGTTCTCTTGAAGAGAGTTTTTTCCATGTTAATCTCTCAGATGAGAGAGTCAAATCGATTCACGACTCATGAAGAGTTTGACCTATTTTGCCAGAAAATCATCACAGATTGTCTTGCAGAGTCAGTTGAAAGTTTCAGAGAGTTATTTAGTGGATTGTGTTCATCGAAACTTGTTGAAGATGAATCGGAAGAAGTTGATAGATGGGTTGCTGTCTGCAGAGCTGAACTTGGAAAGCTCTTCCTTTCATTAACAAAGACTCTTCAGTCATTACGTGACATCCCTAATATTCAACAGAAACAGCCCATTTCACTATTTCATCTTCCTGAACCTACATTTAGCTTGGCTCTCAATCCTGCCAAAGTGACTCATAGTGTAGTCCTAGAAATGTATGTTCGCTTTGGAGTGGCTGAACTGCAAGGAATTCTGAAGAATCTTCTAGGGTGTGGTTCTATTAATCCTATGAACAATTCGTTCACTAGTTTTTCGCCAAGTGCTAATAAGAAAATTAACAACACTAACAACAATGAAAGCAAAATTGAGCATAGCTGGAATCCAAGTACATCTGAAGAGATTCCTGAACCTGCACCCCCTCAGCTGCCAACTGATGTATCACCCCAGCATCCAAATGATATTGAGTTTGTTTCTGTATCTGGATCGCCAACCTCACAGGGCTGCAAAAACGATTTCAGTCCCCATTCATTGAATCCAGAAACAATTGTGCCAGAAATAATTGACGCAGAGTCTTCATCTGCTTCATCAACAAGTTTACCTTGCAGCCCACAACCACATCCAGTTAATCGGGTTTTGTTTCAGCAGGTGAGTAAACTTCTTCTCTCATATTTTTCTAAAAACTTCCCCCAATTTTTTTTTGAAACACCTTTTTTTAAATTGGTTACAGAATAGAAATTCAGACAATATTCTGAATTCTAATTCAACATATCAAACCAGACGTTCATCTGAAAGTGACCGGTACAGCAGTCAGTACAGTGTGTTCAAAGCCTCTCTTGGAAACGTATTGGTTTCATCCTTCAAGAAACAAATTCAAGAGAAAATACAAGCTAGAAACTCAGATATATTATGAAACAAAACCTATATGTTAAAGGAAGAGTTATTTTTAGTAGATGTATTCATCACAAGTATGTTTAGCATAGAATTTTATTTTTTATTCTTCCATGTATTAAAATGGTAAGACCTAGAAACATGTGCCTTGTTATAAAGAGCTTGTTTGTATAAAAGAAAAATATATATATACCCACTGTGATGAGAAATGACCAAAGTAGTTTTGAGAAAATATATATATATTCTGTAAAATGACTTTTTTCATGAAAAGAAAAGATGGTGGGAGGTATAGATTTAATCAAACTCTTTTGGGGAAGTAAATTTTATCTTTCTGATGGAAATTAATCATTATTTTCAGGAGTACTGTCCCTGAAAGATGTTTGTTCTCCTGCCTACCACATTTCAATATATTTTGAATCTGTACAAAGAATGTCAGTGAGTAGCGCATTATTTGTGCATACTTGTGGAAAAGATAAGAGTTCATCAAATACAGCAAAAGGATGTTGCTGCTCTGATCTGAAATGTGTCTTCTGTTCAATCGAACAAATTACTTTGGCATTTTGATGTCTATTGTTAACATATTCATGATAAATATTTTTTGATGCTCCCTTTTTGTGTTTTTGAATTCTAAGTAACATTACTTCAGCTGTAAGACGATGTTTTTAAAAATAGTTTTGGTTATGTTTTACGATCTTTTTGTATGTTAATAAAGATTGAAATTTATAGGTAGTTTTTTTTTGTGTTTCTAGTATATATTAGTGCAGTCTAAAAGCAGAAATAGTATATATTTAGTTAATGCTCTGCACCTACATTTTTTTAGGCTGCTTTGTTATTGTTTTATTTGTTGCCTCTGGAAGAGCAGTGTTTGAGTATCAGACGCATTACATCACATGTTTTCCTTCATCGTTTATTTTAGAATTACTGTTACAATTGTTTGAATTTTATGCAGATGGGTATTTCTAACTTCTTTACTCCATTTCATTTATTTTTGTGAAGCACCAACAACGGAGTTTCTTATTTCTGCTTTATGATCTCTTGGTCTGTGAGAAACTTACCAGTGTTTGTTTGGATTGGTGAGTCAAAGAAGTCTGAGCAGTAACTTAAGTTTTCCAAAGTCAAGTAAACCTTTAGTTCTTTTAAAGAACTTACTAATCTTAAAATTTAAATCTGAAAATATTTTGAACTTCTCTTTACTGTATTTTATACTTAGGAAGATACTTATTTATCTTTACTTTCAAGTGACTCCCTTTTTTTAAGTTTTCATTTAAAATGGACCATGGTATGTAGTGACACATTCATGTACTCCAAATTCTACAAATGTAAGAATACATTTGTGAATATGGCATAGTAATTTGTTAGCAGCATTTTTTTTTCTGTTTCTTTAAAATCCTTGAATGTTTTGAGAAATAATGATTATCTCTATCTTATACATGCACGTAAATGAAAGAACTTATTAATATGACTGTTGAAATTTATATACTTCTCGTTTTACCTGTCTTTGAATGAAAGCCTTCGTGGAGAGCAATGGGAGGATGACCTGTAGGTACTCTTTCACTTTCTTTTGAACATTGAAGTGAGAAGGACCTAAAAAGATGATAATCATTTTAATGTGTGTAGGCATGTAGACTGTTTGGTAACCTTGAAATGCATTTTGCTTAGCCAAACAATATTCTCATAATATTGTTAACCTGCAGCTATATTGAAAGAAATCTTCCTTTGAAAAACAGGAACATAGAGGTGGAACTTGTATTAGGTGTTTGGCACAGAAAGAAGTTTTGGGGCCGTTGTGTTGAGTACATGCAAGAGAATAACATTATTGCTGATCGTGCGAGTTCAAGTGAAACGGGTTACTGTGTCTTCTGCCACCCATGTTTTTACCCCGCTGAATCACATATTACACTGCATATGCATTTTGTTGTATTTTTCTTTTCTTTCAAACTTCTGTTTTATGGTTTGATTTGCATCAAGTTATTAACTCAATGTACCATCGCTTGTTATTTATGTTGTAAGTCAAGATTTGTGTTCAAGCTACTTTGTAAGCTAATAAAACACGCTTTATTCAAGTACCTATGTTGTTTTTCTCAGGCACCTGAGCGTGCGCGCCGGGACGACACCTGCTCTGGCACCCCGCCTGGCCGCAGGTGGCATGTTGACGTCTGCACTTGCCTGCCCCGGTGGTCTCTGGTCACTGGCATCAGAGTCCTCGGCTTTATCAGCGATACCGCCAAATGCCACTCGACGCACTCGACGGTATCCCGGGGCCCGGGCTCGGCTCGCAGTTATAAAGGCTGAGGGTCGCGTGCACCTCATACTGCAACGCCAACCCCACAGACGTAGCCATGATCGCCGCCCTGGTCATCGTCGCCCTCGTGGCCTCCGCTCAGGTACGGACCGTCACTGCTCAGAGAGACAGCTGAGTAGCTGTCCAATTCCACGGGGTCGCCCCCGTCCTTGCACGGCTCAGAACGGCCACCCGCCGCACAGGGAATTCCGCAATTCGAATGGGGTGGTGGGCGCCCGCGGTTGGGGCGAGACAGGTTGACGTAAAGTTAGAGAGCCTCGGACGGGTCTCTGCACCCTAAAGGTGTAGGGTAGAGTCTCTCCGCCTAAGATGCGAGCACATTTTACCTCACGTCAGGTTCACCCCTCCACGCGCACATGCTAGGAGGAGCCCCCTGCGCATCCTCTGGGTACCGAATCTGAGCTTCACATTTGTTACGGATAGACCAAATGACCAACGGGGAAGTGCTTAGTTACTGAGAGAAGTAAAGGCGTTGTCTGCGGAAACTTGGGCATTTGTGATGAGAGACGAAGACACTTGCTGGCGAAGCTAACTATCGGCGTTTATCTGATGGTTCTAGAACGGAGTCTGATAGCACACGGCATGTGGCGTAACGTGAGACAACCTTAAGTCGAAATGAAGCCCACCTTTTGATCCAAATAATCCATGAACTAATCAACCGCAGAGATTGCCTTTCGAGGGGGATGACACATCGCTGTATTGACCGACAAATACTTGAGTTCGATTATTTTCGTAGAAGGGGGGGGGGCGAAAAGAAAGACAACACCCTGACCTTATAATTTGCTCTCCTGCAGGCCTACCCTGGCAGCGACCCTCTCGAACAGATGCTGTCCGTCCAGTACGAAAACAACAACAACAACCTGTTGACGAACTTCGGCAACTCCGCCACCTGCCTCGTCGCCAAGATCTTCGAGGTAAGGTCCTCGTCGCCGTGGCGTGTCCTGCCGGTGTTTGTCTGCAACAGACATCAGGTACTCACATTCTCGGTGTTTAGGTGAAAGACGCCATCGACGAAGCCAAGAAGGACCTGCCCCTCCTGCTTAACATCCCCCCTCTGCTCCTCGCCAACCTCGCCAAGTGCCAGCCCACCGACGACTGGCTCGACTGCCGGATGCAGGCCATTCGCGACACCTGGGAGGGCACCCAGAAGGATCGCGACCAGCTCGCCGCGGGAGGTGCCAAGATCCTCAAGGCCGTGCAGGACATCCTGGTGTGCTTCCAGGACGACAAGGTCCAGGCCAGGAACGGAGCCATTCGCATCCAGACCTTCCCCGCCCGCATCGAGCAGTAGGCCTAACTGTTGATGACGAACAATAAAAGTAAATGGGGGTGGTTACCACCCATTTCCCACCTGTACGTGGATGCAGCAATACTCATTTCCTAACTCAGGCTCTGATGAAAACTTCCCTTACAACACTTGAGAAAAGGCGGCCCTGGAAACGAAGCAGCGGGCCTGGTGAGACCTCTGAGATGACCCCCCCCCCCCCACTTGGACCCCTTCCTTTCGTTTTGCGGTTTGTGTTTGTCGGACGGAGATGGTCGGGCACTCGTGGTGCTCCTTGAAACCCGTTGCTTCGTTTCCAGGCGGCCCTTTCTCAAGCTCACATCTCAAGCTCACATCCTCGCAATACGCCGACACGTTTAAATGTAGCCGGGATGACCGGTGTATCACAGATGCACCAACTCTTGAAAAGTTCACGGGACACACTTCATGAACTAGGAAAGTCTCACACTTCCCTAAAGTATACATTTTACACTATGAAATCAAAATTTTAAAGGAAATAAAGTTGTGGGGGGACTTTCCTCGACACAAATATATGGTTAACACAAAAGAAATTTAGCACATTCACATTTGAGGTTGGAGTTTCTGGAGGGAAAAAAGGGGGAGGGGGATTCGGATAAATCAAAGCAGACAACTACGACGACCATCTACGCCGATTACCGGGCCAGATTTAACATCCTTTTAACTCGTTAACGTCGGGCGGGACGTTTCAGCTCATGTGTCTTTTCTCATCAAAAAATCAGGAATGGGGAACACCTTCGATGCTCCTGACCCGATAGATGAAGACTGTAAAAGTGGGATCGGACCGCGAGGCAAAGGTACATGCACCGAAAACATAACCTAATGGAAAAGTTCTCTTTCACCACCTGACATGCCAGTACTTAACATCCTCTTTTGCATGTGTCAAGTGTTGAAATTTTCTTTTTAGGGGATCCAGATGACTTCACTTTAAGGGCCAGAGAACTGAAAGTCCACATACCGAAATTTCAAGAGGCAGCTGCCTTAAAGGTTCATTGCAAAGATCTTGCACAAGGTATGTTCCGAACTAATCCAACTATTATTTAACAAGCTTAACATCACCTTGTGGGAGAGCCACGATTAGCACTAATACTAGTTTCCTGTTTCATTACAGAGCTTCAGCATTGTATGGATAATAATTTTGCCTTACTTGCTTCTTGTTATCACTTGAACACCAAACTGAAAGCATGTACAGAACTTTGGACAAACGATTTAGAGTACAGAGAACAAATGATAGAAGAGTATCTTTTAGTACGACAGGAATTCAGGAAAACAGGTAGAAATAGATTGTATCGTGCGCTGAAAGGAGAGACATATGTGACTGAAAGTGAACGGAAAGGCTACCAAGTATAGATGAAAATTAAAATAAAGAGTTTTATAGTAATTTAATTGGATTTTAATAAATCTCACTTAATTGTTGGAATTTATACACTTTATTGTTATCTAATAGCCTACTTTGAAACAGCTGCTTTCTTCTTCTTTTTAGTTTTCTTTATAACTTTAGTGTGTCCGGACAATTTCTTCAATTTATCTTTTGGTTCATTTGATAATGATAAGCATAGATCATCCATTGCAGTAGCCACAGTATCCATAACAGATGAACTTGCCACATTTGATGGACTTTCATCTTCAGTTGTGGATTCTTCCTTCTTCACGGGAAGAAGAAGAGGGCGCTTTGAAAACCTGTTTGAAACTGAAAACAAACGTACACATTTTAGAAACTGATCAGCAATCCTGCAAACATAGCTCAAAAATTTTGCCACACCACAAATTTTACCTGCTACGTTATCACAGAGATCCCACACTCCAAAATTTCGGCTCTTTTTATCTCCTCCAGCAGCTAATGTGAAAGGAGCATCTGGACTTGATCCAAGACATTGTAAGTTACCCAGCTTGACATCATTTTCCCAAACCCATACTGGTTTGGACTGTTCCTCTATATCCCACACTTTTACAAGGCCATCACTTGATCCAGTAAAGAGAAGACCAGGGCAAGCAGAACTCAAACTAAGACCTAGGTAGATAAAAATAAAATTTTAAGTAAAATAAAATATGGAAATTATAAAATTTCAAATCAGTATACTAGGTAGCTGACTCACGCCGCGCACTTTCGTGGTTATACTATACCGCATGCACGCATACGGGCTGCCTATCGCACGGGGCCGTAAGGAGCTATGGGCAGCGAGAATAGAAAAACCCGCCCGCACCCGTGCATGCGATACAGTATAACTACGAGAGTGCGCGGCGTGAGTACACCTGGTAATATACCTGTCACTTCTTTAGAGTGTGCAGAGAGCTCCCAGACTGGTTTATCATTTCGACAATCAATGTAGTGCACTGTGCCTTTATCTGTGCTGGCCTGGGTGTACATAAAAACACATATTTACACATTTTTGAATAATATTGAATGTAGACAATGTTGGAAACACTAGCAGCACAAAAGTTTACCAAAAAACAGAATGGATTGTAGTGGTTCCATATCACCCGTTCAACTTCACCAGGCATTGACCAAGCCTTGTAAGAATCTTTACTTCTGCAGTCAAATACCCGGACAGCCCTGTTAAACAATGAATAAAATTGAGCTTTCATTGAGTTTCAAGTTTTACAAATAGAAGTAATACTACGCAGTTTTATGCAATCGTACATATCACAACTTCCAGTTAACAGTGTTTGTCCTTCAAAGGGGTGCCACTTGATTGTCTGCACCTTTTCACGAAAGGCGTCAAGAGTGGTATTTACTGTGCCATTCTCAAGGTCCCAAAGAATGACTGTTTGGTCCACTGAACCACTAGCAAGCACATGACTGAAACAGTGCAAGAGGAGAATATTATTTCACTGAAAACAAACTTACATCATTTCATCTTGCAAGAACCACTTACGTAAAATTAGTGTTCCAAGAAAGGTCGAGAACTGCATCTTTATGCCCAATGTGATCTCGTTTCTTTTTGCCCTTCTTCTTCTTCTTTTTAAAGTGAACTGCTACAGGGTCATTACTTTCAACATCAGCAGACCCAAGTACATATGCAGGTTCCAAACAATCAACAATATCCAAATCAATTACATGAATAACTGGTGTCATTCCCCCAACAGCACAAAGATTGGCTAAAACAAATGAAGCAGTTATAGGTTTAATAACTATTTTCATAATCTAGAAAATAAAATATAATTAAAATTAAAAAGTATCTTACTATCAGTTGGAGATGATGGATCATAATTTAACCATTCTAAACACAGGGGTATATCAGGCAATAATATATCATGATGAACATATAAGGAGCCTTCTTCCTCATTTTGAACTGTAAAGAAATTTTTATACAAAACGGAATGAGAAGAGTGATTAACAGAAGAACCAATGAAAAGTAGAACTTCGAGGAAAGGCAATACCATAAACTTCCAGAGTAGCCTGATCTCCAATTACATGCCCCACAAGCACAAGGTTGTCATTGGGTTTTATTAAGTCATCGCCCTGTTCACTATCATTGTCAGAATCATCTGGTAGTGTAATATAAGGGTCATCCTTGTTACTAGAGTAGACCGTAAGACCAGCTATGCCTCCAATAACATCGGGTTTCTCTGAAAATTCATAGAATGTGACAAAACCATAACAGCAAAATTTAAAAATATTACACAAGATGTTGAGAGTCACACTTACCTATTTCATCATCATAACCATCAAAATCATACTTATTTTCCATGTCATCACCGGAATTGGTGGCGGTCTCTTTTTTGAGGGACACTGAAGTACTTGGTGTTTCAGCTGCTTCATCTTCATCACTATTGGATTCGTCCAAATCATTTTCATCAGATGGCAAGTCACTAGAAGAGGAGATTGAAACGGCTATGATGAACTAAAGCAATAATGATGATGATTTTAAGTTAACAAAGGAAACTGCGAAAAAACTGCTTACGCTTCAGATTCTTTCAATAAAGTGGCCAACTCTTCTTCGGAAAGTTTTACCTGAGAAGAAGACACACAGCAATGGTATTAAATAAAGCACCATAATTAATGATTAAACATTAATCAAAGGGCATCGAGAAAAGACAGACACAGACAGAATATACTGCAGGGACAAGATAAACTAAAATAAAAACATACTTTAACCCCTACGAACAGTTAAGACACCTCACCTTATCGGGTTCTGCTTTTGCAACCCCTCTTTTGACCCAAGTGAGACATGGGATGAAATTTAGCCTCTCCTCTTGCCCCGCTCCCTCCATGACGCTATCTCCCCAAACAAAATAATTCACCCAAGTAACTTAAAATATATACACATGCACACGTGAACAGGAGGTTGGGTTAGGTACGCATTCAAATGAGTATGAGAAATAGCAGGCATGACGCATAGAAAAAAATGAAAAACTTTTGTTTGACAACACTTGCAGCTAGCAGTAGATAGAAAGTTCAAATTTGAATTTTCCGCACCTAATTTTACCTCTTCTTAAAAGAAATCTGAAATTTAGACTGATTTAGACTTGTGAATAAATTTTCTAGCATTCACAATGCCTGCCTCTTCAAATTTTACATTGCTAACTAGGCTGAGGTTATTCCATACCATGAGTGCGATGAGAGGAGAACTTGTGAGTGTAACAATGCAAGATAACTTTGATACATCTTTGGACCAAATAAGCCATCTTGTACTTCATAAAAATTGACAATAACAATTTCAGAACCATCGTCATCATTCATCTTCTTCCATTAGAAATCAAACAGACCGCAATGACCTGAAGTCACGTCAAGCTGAAGTTATGGCAAGAGGATTACCAAAGAGAAAACCAATAGTTGGAGTGAATCATATTCTTCTTGTCGCATCCGGGAAAGGGGGAGTAGGCAAGTCAACCAGTGCAGGTACGCAAACCATTTTCTCTGAAATATTAGAAGTATCCAATTAAATATTTCTTATTTAACCAAAACCTTTTGTGTCTAGTAAACATAGCCACAGCACTGAAAGCAGAGAATCCAAACAAACAAGTAGGTTTATTAGATGCTGATGTATTCGGACCATCTGTTCCTCTCATGATGAATCTGGACGACTCTCCATTATTGGATAATGGTACGTAAATTCAAGTTCGCACCTGCAGGTTTTCAGTTATTTGTTTCCTTTCAGAATGAAAAATAACTGTATTTGTGTTTTGGCAGACAATTTAATGATCCCACTCCAAAATTATGGTGTAAAATGGTAAATATACCATCTAACTCAAATTTCAGCAGAGTATAATATTGTTTTAACATCTATTGAATTTAAAATACAGTATGTCTATGGGATTCCTTGTAAACAAAGATGCTCCAGTTATATGGCGAGGATTAATGGTTATGCAAGCTCTTGAACGACTCTTGCGCCAGGTAGCATGGGATCCTGTTGATTATCTTGTAGTGGATACTCCACCAGGCACAGGGGACACTCATTTGTCTCTGGTTCAAAATATTCCAGTATCAGGCAAGTTTCAAATCTGTCATTATTACTAGAATCAAGCTTAGCTGACATTGATGCAGCAAATCAAAGATCAATCCATGTGCATTTTTCTGTAGGTGTGCTTTTAGTCACTACACCCCAAACAGCAGCATTACAAGTGACTCAGAGAGGAGCAAATATGTTTAGAAAGCTTGAGATACCTATAATAGGTGTGCTCCAAAATATGAGTGCAGTTGAGTGTCCAAAGTGCTTGAACAAAGTATCCTTACATAGCAATTCATCTGAAACCCTCATAAGAGATCTAGGTAGGTAAACAATACCCAGAAAGAAATGTTATTATTCAAGAGTGCTGCTTAAATTGTCTCTTCTTTTCATTTTGCATAAGGTGTGTCAATACTCGGGGATATTCCAATAGACAGTACCATCAGCCAGGGATCTGACACTGGTGTACCTGTTGTGATATCACATCCAAACGGAGCAGTGGTAAGATGTCTTTCCAACTATTTTGTACTGTCATCTTTTTGAACCAACTAATATTTTACATTGACATTTAGGCTACAGCCTATCTTGAAGTGGCTCGGGAAATAATGAAACAGCTCGACAAAAAGTCATAGGACATTAAATATAACAAACCATTTGTGTACAATGTCTTGATCATGTTTTTACTCGTTATCTGTATCTGAATTCAATTTGATTGATTGATAGAAAACAGAAAATAAACTGAAATAAAGCAACAAGTTACTTTCACAGTGACAAGTTGTTTTTATTACTAATCCATTGAATGCGAAAGAATTCCCATCAGCTCTGACAGACTAGCAGTAGTCTTGACTGCAAGAGGATCAAAATGAGTCCTGCTTGCCCGGAAACCAGCCTTTTGAAGATTTGATACTACCTTTCCCACTTTAACCATTTTGGGTCCTTTTGGACAGTGCTTATGTAGATTAAAATAGAAGGGTGGTTCAGGTTGAGATGCAGCTATCTCTTTGATGTTTTGTGTATCTTCCTTTTTCTTCTTCACTGGAGGCTCCTGATTTTCACTGAGAGGTTGATGAAGAGTATTATTTTTGATTTTATCGTTTACCTTCTTAAGTAACTTTTCTCCCTCTAAATTAGGACACCTGTGGTTTACATTTTTAAAAAAATAATTAAGAAATGAAAGAATAATTCCCAAGGATCCTGATGCAGAGTATTTTAACAATCATAATAAGACCTGTTCTCACCAAGCTTCATAGAGAAGTGTTTCCATGACTTCTTTCATGCTTTTCTCCCATGGATATTTATTCATATGAGAAATCATAGTCCTCACAAAGTTGGCATTAAAGAGACTCCCAGACCAAACTGGTCCAACATTTACTAAAACTTTCCCTGGGGTATTTTCTAAGCACTTACATGACAACAGGCTTCCTGGATTTTCTGAATTAAATAGTTAGATATTAGATTTATTGTCCTTTGATTTTCAGCTTGACTACAAGTTAGTGTGAACATACCAACTGGGTACACAGAAGACGGGTAAAATCCGCGGTCCTCACACATGTTGCAATGCACAAGTGGTTTGATCTTTGCCATACATGAATTAGCCTGAGCAGGCCCTTTCAGAATCTTAACAAGTATGGTGATTGTTGATTTTACTGATAGCACACAGAGAACTTCAAGACCTTTACTGTGGACAGCAGCGGACCTAAAACATATTTAAATTATCCAAGTTAAAAATACAGTATAATGTGATAAAAAATACAATTAAGAATGCCAATTGTTTGTATCATTACCTTACCATCCCTGCTACAATCAACCTAGCAGCCAACTCTTTGGAATAGAATGTTTTTGTAATAGTGCCTCCATAATTCCGAAGTGCCATGTCTGGTGTTCTGCCATACAGAGCACCATCGTCCTTTGTGTTTATGGCAATAATTCCTTGTTTAGGAATATTTCTCATTAATGAATCAAGATAAAAAGAGGCATCGGTGTGACAATCGAGGTAGCTATGTAAAGTGAACGTACAAAATAATGGACATATGAAATAAATATTATAGTAGTACATACAGCTAAATAAATTTTTATACTCACATGAAGCTAAATGGCATTTCATGGAGAAGCACACATGGATCTTTTCTATGTATATCAGTTTCTAAGCCGTTTCTTTGCCTGTTGTCTAATATGATTTGATGCGAATTTTCATGAGGATCGTTGATATGGACATGTACATCACTAGCAAGATATTTTTTCCAGAGAAGACCAGCAACTCCAGTGGACCCAATAACATCGATACATCTTACTGGTTTGAATACTGAATGTCCTGTTTCGCAGAAAACACTGAGCGCTGTTGTTACTAATGCTCTGTAAAATAAATGGTTGTTACAAGTCACAAGTCAAAAGAAGTCATGGAAATTTTAATTAATATAATATACCCTAACAGAACCTAACCTATTGACATCCATTTCTTGACAATAATATCCCTCATTTCGCTTTGGAGATAGTGAATCTCTATTGACTTTGAGTGAAACACCGAATTCAGTCACTTCAGCGAGTACAATGGACTTGCTTTCAAGAGAAGACACATCACACTTTGCCATTTTAAACGAAAAGAGTAAACATGTGTTTACATTTAGCAGACTAAAGAGCAGTTCGAAGACAGCGCGAATTTCGGTTGCGTCCAAAGAAATTTTTCATAGATGCAGCTGTCCTCGCCCGCGCTAACCTCTTTTAAATGAAATTCTAAACTGCTGAAACAAGCCGAAACCCCCATTTGTTTACCATTCACAGATCGAAAATTATACTTGCGGACTGTCAATAGATGCTTCAAGGAGCTGAAGTCGTTCTCCACTCTTACATCTAAGTGATCCGAGAAAATTTAAATTATGGCATTCAATTTTCAGCAGAGCAACTTTTCAACGCCAGCCTCATCTGCTCCTGCATTTGGTGGATTTGGAACAACAAATACAGCAACAACGAAAGGTATGTCATCTTTTAAGACACATTTTTTGTAGGGACCTCAAAATTTAATTACATTACCTGTATAGCTGACTAAATCAAGTGTCATCTACATTTTATGTGGCCCAGTACAAAGGTTAGGTTTTCTATAGACTTTTGTGTTGTTTTTGATGGTTTGACAACTTCATTCTTTAAAATTCTCAACCCGCCGAGGTTTTATCCAGAGTTCATGTGTTACTCAGTTGCACTCCTTAACAAGAAGCTATCAATGCTACTAATCTGTCTTGTATTTCCAGCTCCATTTGGTGGCACAGGGTTTGGGTTTTCTGCCCCTACAGCTGCACCTGCATTTGGTCAGACTGCTGCTCCTGCAGCTGCAACACCTGGGTTCGGCTTTGGTGCAACTACCACCACAACAAGTAGCACTGGTTTCGGTATGCATTATCCACTTACTCCTGAAATATATGATATTTTTTAACACATTGTAAATGATACATTTGCTATTTTCTATTCGGTTTCAGGCTTCGGTCCATCAACTTCCACAGCATCCTCAGGATTCGGAAGTTTTGGAACAACGCCAGCTTCTTCAGCACCTGGGTTCAGTTTTGGGTCTTTTGGTGGGGGTACAAATACATCCACAGCAGGAAATACAGGTGGCACTTTGTTTTCTGGTTTTGGAGGACAGCAGACCCAAACTCAACCCCATACCTCAACAGCAGGTTTGTAACATTTTATGTTAACATCAATTTTCAGCGTTACAGATTGTTCTGATTGTATGCCCATCTTTTCAATTTTCTTTTCTTTTTTCAAGGATTTGGGGGTTTGGGGTCATTTGGGGCTAAACCCCTGGGAACAGGTACCACTTCATTTGGTGGATTTGGAGCAACTGGAACAAGTTTTGGTACAGCTGTTGGAAGTAGCTTTGGTAGTTCTGGAACTGGATTTGGAGCACCAGGGAGCTCATTCGGAGCACCAGGAACTGCATTTGGAGGGGCAGGCAGTGCATTTGGGGGGACAGGAAATGCATTTGGAAGTACTGGTACAGCATTTGGCGCTACTGGTACAGCATTTGGAACAGCCTCCAACTCTTTCCCTGCAGGTAAATTTTTATCTTCAGCAGATAACTATTGATCGTTTTTCTTTTTACAATCATAGTAATTGTGAGAATTTTGTCTTTCCAGGGTTTGGTCAGCAACAACAGCAACAAGCTCTACAGCCAAACCAGCATGAGGCATTGTACAATGCGTTAGTTAATGTCAATATCTTTGGGGATGAACGTGATACCACCTTAACTCGTTGGAACCAATTACAAGCTGTTTGGGGAACAGGTCTAGGTACTTTGTGACAAAAGAGAGCTTCTATGGAACTTTATACCAACTGTCTCCTTATTTCTGTGAAATGTTATTGACTTTTTTATTTCAGGTTATTATTCAGCAAATGCTCCTCCTGTGGAATTTACTCCAAATAATCCATTTTGTCGTTTTAAGGCAGTAGGCTACAGTGTAAAACTTGCTGCTGATAACAAAGAGGGATTGGTAGCCATAAACTTTAACAAGAAAGAAAGTGAAATAAGGTTTTTATTTTATATGTTTTTTCTTAGTTCTTAAAAAAACTGTTTTAATTTAGCATGAATATTACATGTGCTAACATTTACGTACTTCCTTCAGGCCAGAGCAAACTCAATTGATCACGAAACTCAGCCAAATTCTTGGTAACAAGCCAAATCTAACTGTTAATGTTGCTGGCATCAAACCTTTGTCAGAGTCAAAATCACAAGTAGTCATAACAGTGCAGGAAAAGGGAGCAACAGGTTTGTGCATTTGTTTGTCATGATTTTATTTGTTCAGTGGAGTGTTTCATGCTAATCTTATTGTTGATTGTTCAGGTTCTGTCCACAAAATACCTGCAACAGAATTGGCAACATTTCTCCTTCAGCCAACTCAGAGACAACATCTTGTTACTCTAGGAGTGGACAATGTTTATCCCCAAGTAGCCTTAGACGAAGAGCAGCTGAAAGAATACTATGAAAATCCTCCAAGCGGTCAGTTAACACTTTTCTGCAGATCTTCACTCTTGAAAATTTAACTAATTTTTTATTTTTTTTAAATCATGAAAGCAAATTGTTATTTTCAGGCATTGACCCTAGGTTATGGAAGCAGGCAATTCAGGACAACCCAAATCCTGATAAGTTTATCCCTGTCCCTATGATTGGATTCAAAGAAGTGAGGTGGAGGATGCAATGTCAAGAGCAAGAGACAGCACTACATCAAGCTTTCCTTGATAAGGTTGCTGAAGAAGTGCAGACTTTACAACGCAAGCAAGCTGCCACTGTGGCAAAAACAACAGAATATCGCAGAAAATTAGTAGAGCTTGAGCACCGCTTACTGCAGGTATAGAGATATTACTATTTATTGTTCATTTACTGACGTAAGAATTAGTTTGTAATTTTATTTGATCCCTGCGACTTGTCTACAGCTACTTGTCAAGCAAGAAATCACTAGAAAAGTTGGTCTAGCTTTGACTCCTGAAGAAGAAGCTATTAGAAGTCATCTTGAATCATTACAGCCTCATATGTATGCTCCAACTCACCTCAAAGTAAGTATACTATATCTGTTTGTTTCAGGTTTTCATCTAATTAGAATCTTTAACTACAGTTTCACTCTTACTTTCTTCACAGGGAAGATTAGCAGAATTACTTTCTACCATTCGAATGCAAAGGGAAAAGGGAGAACAAAAGGAAACAGAGAGATATACGATGGATCCTTCTGTTCAAGATGATATCAAACAGGTCGGTTTGAATTAATTTTAACTTGTTGACTGCGGCTTGTCTCAATGCTGGTTGCTTTTGCCACTACATAAATTCCTGCAGTAACAAAGTTCCTATTGAGAATTACTTAACATTTGGTGTCTTCCTTTTTTCAGTTTTTACGGATGCAGCAAGATGGAATGCAACACTTAGTTCAAACTATACAACAAGACTTATCTGACTTGAAGATTATTAAAGAGGGGATGATTAAGTTGTTACATCGCCAATAGACTGCTTTCTAATGAATTTCTATCAATGAAAATCAACTAACATTTTATTATGTTTAAGAAATGGATGTATGAATGATTGGACTTTTAATAGGAAAGTATTGTGAAAGAAGACAAAAATTTACATTAATAAAAAAATCTTGAGAATCATGAAGAATTTATTATTTATTTCAAACCTAAGAAAGGATAATGAAAATGTGTCAATAAGTTAGTCTAGGTTACAACATTTAAAAGGAAGTTGCAATTTTATTTGAAAATTATAGGAAGTAAATTTTTTATGTAAAGGTAAATCTAAAAACTGACAAGACAGTTTTGATTAGATTAATATTTAGTCTGATTTATTTTTTAGTTTAGCAATTGCTCTCAGTCTTTCAATCAGGGTAGGATGAGAAAAGTGCCACAGAGAGTACCACTTGTCATTCACAGGGAAAGACAGATTGTCCAAATGCAACTTGATGAGAGAAGATCCTAAGGGTTCAGAGTAGCCGAGGGTAGTTGCAAAATAGTCAGCCTGGTACTCAAATCGCCGAGATAGGGAACTCATGAAGAAGTTAATAACCTGGAAAGAAGAAACAAAAAATAATGTCAGGCCCAAACTTGAAACAAAAGCAACAGCACAATACTGGAAATGAAACAATCCAATCTAGGACATACCAGTTTACATGGTAACAGAATATTTCCAAGAATAACAGTCAAACCAATCACTGCAGGTTGGCTCTTGGTAAATCCAAAAGCTCGATATAGGCTCTTTGAAGCAAAGACCTTTGAGAACAAGATAAAAAACAGCAGAATTTTGACCTGGAAATGTAAATGACACATTTAAGAGGGAGTCATCAAGTGCAAGAGAGGTGCATATCACAATATCAGAGTTAATACTCATTCATACCTCTACTATGACTAAATTCTTAACAGTATGGCTATATTTCCAATGTCCAAGTTCATGTCCCAAAACGGCTACAATCTCTTCTGTGCTGCATCCTCGCTCTTTCTTGGCATTTCTCTTCTCTTCCAGAGTTTTCTTCTCTTCCTCTGTCATATTCTCCTCCTTTTCCTTCACTTCAGCTTCCTTCTTTTCCTTGTCTACAGGTTCATATCCCTTTATCAGTGTGTCAAACAAAACAATGCGCTTGTTCTTGAAGAATCCATACAAATATGCATTACTGTGTGCAGAACGTTTAGAACCTTGAAACAAGAAAATGGAAAATTTCATCAGAATTTGTAAACGATTTCAGGTAGAACAAAATTGAATTAACCTACACAAAGCTTACCTTCAACAACAAACAACTTAGTGAGAGGGTAGTCAAGCTTCTTGGCAAGAGCCTCAATTTCATTCCTGAGCTCTCCCTCTGGCAGGGGGGTATATTTGTCAAACAATGGAGCAATGTACACAGGATAAACGGTCATCATTACAAGGATCACAAATGTTGTGAAACCCCAGGCATAGAGTGAGAAATAGTCACCACCGGCTTTCACAATGAAAATAATGCCACTTATTACAGGGAACGTTATGATTTGGCCAACAATGAACTTCTTGATTTCATCTTTGACAAAGAAACCCAGGGTCTGGAAAAAAAAGAAGGAGGTGTGTACTTAAAAACATGCCACTGGAAGTTTTTGGTTCCAACAAACCTTCAATAACTATTATTCCTACTTGATTATTAAATCCATGTCTTTCTTCAATCACAAAGGTTGAATAGAGTTTGAATGGTGTGCTGAGAGTAATTTCAATTACGCTATTTATAAGTATAAAGAAGTATGTCTGATTTATTTCATACTGATCAAGAGGAAGGCCAATTCTTTTGACAATTACTTCAGAAATTGTCCACATAACAACATGCCATTTAAGAACCAGAGTTGCCTGAAATAAAGATATTAAATTAATTATACTGACTCAACTATCAATGCAAATGACTGTTATATCCAATGTAAATGAGTTTAAGTACTATTATAAGGAACTTACAGTGCTCACAATCAAATCGAACAGACTATGAACAAGTTCGAAAGAATTCTTATCAAGAGCATATTGCCTACTTTTTTCAAACTTGTTCTTATCCATGTGCTTCACCAACTCTGGTGGAACTTTTTCTTCTTTGATCAACACTCTTCTCTGTGGCATTAATGAAAGAAAGATAAATGAAAATGCAAACAACAAAACCCCGGGAGGGTGAGAACAAATGAAAAGGTTTTTGGAATGCGAAAATGAAGCACAGAATTAGATGCTACTTACCTGTCGAATGCTTAAATATGATTCCCAACAGCTTACAGCAGTTATAGCACCAGCTAAGGCCCATAAAAGGTTCCCTTCGTCAATATTTAGCTTTGCAAGAAAGCTCATGGCTGACGAGCCAATGATAGGCTTAACAAGGTCTTGCAAAACGCCAATCATTTTTCGTAGTACCCCTCACAAGAGGTTCGAGAAATTACCTGATACCTAAAAAGCGCGATGAACGGAAATTACACTAAGTTATTTAAATGTGAGTGTCAAACAGGAGCCGGTTCATAACCTACTCGGTGCGAATGCGAATGTCGACTAACAAGTCTCTTTTCACGCACAAGTAATACGAAACTCCCAGCTTAAAGACATTAATAATTTAATCTACGCTCACCGCAATGCCTAAGCACACAACTTTGCGACATCACACACAAAATTTCAAAATTTAGACTTACCAACTTGTGTGCAGACGGCAACAATCGGATGGGTTGTGTGTGTGTGCGACGGCGGTTACAATTTGTCATCATGGTTCCACTCGTCACCAATAGAGCGCAGTACAACGAGTACAGCACTCAGCGAGAGGGAGGCGGGAGATTTTTATCTCGATGGACCAGTCCATGTCAGTGCCATGAGGTGCCATCATTGACCCGCTTTTGATGTAAACATTAATTGTCCTTCACTTTTCCTGAAGACATGTGGTCAAATGCCATTGAGTGTTAAGTAGGGGTGGAAATAAAAATGATGAGTCGAGTTGTCAATAATTTATTGTTGGTAACCGATAAACTCCAAACCATATCATAAAAGAGTTTCAGTAGAAAGTCAACAAGTTTAGTAATGAAATCACCCAATTCTTCAAGCTGGGAGTCTGTACTCCACAAATCCCTTACACCTTAATTACAAATACAAAATGTGGTACCACAACTCCCAATAAACCTTATTGAATAAATATATAAACAAGTCTCCATGATAAAAGTGCTAACTTTCACAAGGCTTTCCTCCTGAATGCTTTTCTATGGAAACAGTGTTTCATAATACCCTTGACAAGACGTTTCCACAACTGTGGAAGTGGCAGAGCTATGGATAGTGTGGACTGAGAGCGCCACAGTATTTTCAGTCCAAAGTTGCTCCCATTCACCACGCCTAGTTATTTCTTCTTCTGTGCTTTCTCAGCAGCCTTGGTGACTTTGCCGGATGAAGCATCCTTGAAGTTAACGCTCTGAAAGGCAAAAAATAAATTGTAAGTCGTGCCTAACATGGAATCAACTAAATATCAAGTAGAGAATAATGGTCAGAGTCAGGTAAAGTGGTCAGCATCGTCACTAAGAGTGGTGCATGGCATGACTATCTCATCATTCCATTGAAAAATAAGACGAAACATTAAGAAGAATACACACCTTGATGACACCGACGGCGACGGTCTGCCTCATGTCACGGACGGCGAAACGACCAAGGGGAGGGAACTCCTGGAAGGACTCCACGCACATGGGCTTGGAGGGAACAAGGTTGACAATAGCGGCATCACCAGACTTGATGGCCTTGGGATTCTCCTCAGTGGTTTTGCCTGCACAGAAAATTTCATTAGAACCAACAACCAAGAAACGCAGATTAGTGAAGTAGTGTTAAGGTAAAGTATACTAACCAGTACGACGGTCACACTTCTCCTTGATCTCGGCGAACTTGCAGGCAATGTGGGCGGTGTGGCAATCCAGCACAGGGGTGTAGCCGTTGGAGATCTGGCCAGGGTGGTTCAGGACAATGACCTGAGCGGTGAAGTCAGCAGCGCCCTTGGGAGGGTTGGCCTTGGAGTCACCAGCGACGTATCCACGACGCAGTTCCTTGACGGAAACGTTCTTGATGTTGAAACCAACGTTGTCGCCGGGAACGGCCTCGGTCAGGGCTTCGTGGTGCATCTCGACAGACTTGACTTCAGTGGTGATGTTGGCAGGGGCGAAGGTAACAACCATACCGGGCTTGATGACACCAGTCTCCACACGGCCGACGGGGACGGTACCGATACCACCAATCTTGTACACGTCCTGGAGGGGTAGACGCAGAGCCTTGTCTGTGGGACGGGAGGGGGGAAGGATGGCGTCAAGAGCCTCAATCAGGCACTTGCCGTCAGCCTTGCCTTCCTTGCGCTCCACATTCCACCCCTTGTACCAGCCCATCTTGGCAGAGGGCTCCAACATGTTGTCGCCATGCCAGCCAGAGATGGGCACGAAGGCGACAGCTGCAGGGTTGTAACCGATCTTCTTGATGTAGGAGGAAACTTCCTTCTTGATTTCCTCAAAACGAGCTTCGCTGAATGGAGGCTCGGTGGAGTCCATCTTGTTCACACCAACGATCAGTTGCTTCACACCCAGGGTGAAAGCGAGCAGGGCGTGCTCACGGGTCTGTCCATTCTTTGAGATACCAGCTTCAAATTCACCAGTACCAGCAGCAACGATGAGCACGGCACAGTCAGCCTGTGTACAAAATTTAAAGCCATAAGTAACAAGCAATACCTCAAAATATCAAGGGAAAGAGCGTGATGCATTAGTGATTACTAACCTGAGAGGTACCAGTAATCATGTTCTTGATGAAATCCCTGTGGCCAGGAGCATCAATGATGGTCACGTAGAACTTGGCAGTCTCAAACTTCCACAGAGCAATATCGATGGTGATACCACGTTCACGCTCAGCCTTCAGCTTGTCCAACACCCAGGCGTACTTGAAGGAACCCTTGCCCATTTCCTGAGCTTCCTTCTCGAACTTCTCGATGGTACGCTTGTCAATACCACCGCACTTATAGATGAGATGGCCGGTGGTAGTTGACTTGCCAGAGTCGACATGACCGATGACAACGATGTTAATGTGAACCTTTTCCTTGCCCATGGTGAGTGCTTTGGATTACTTAGCTGCAACAGAAAATTGATAGCGTTAGGGAAACAGTTGCTATTATTGTTCGAAGTCAGTTTGACTCAATTAATTGTTGCACAAGAATTGTATTTGAAAGCCACATAAGCAGTCAAACATAGCGATCTCAGCAATAATTTCCACAGTTTAGAACGCCATGACCAATATGATTGCTTGACATGGAGCTGGACTGTGGGTAATGAGTAAAGAAGGGACCCTGAAGACTGTTGCTCAAGCAACATAATGAAAAGCCAAGATGACTGGCAGACAAATTGAGGATCGAGCATTTCTCTCCACAGTTTAGAACGCCATGACCAAATATGTTCACCTGACATGGAGCTGGTCTGTGGGCAACCCACTCAAAAATCATCTGAAAGACTGTCGCTCGAGGTACGTAATTGGAAGCCAAGATAACCGGCAGACAAACTTCGAGACTCGAGCATTACTCTCCACAGTTTAGAACGCCATGACCAGATATGTTCACCTGGCATGGAGCTGGACTGTGGGGCGGTGACCCACTAACACGCCAGCACCGGCGAACCAAAACCACGATGTTAAAGCATGGCCCATGGGATGCGCACGGCGAAAACTTAAAGGATGCCCTTCGTGGGATAAGCACACGTTCTAGTGATAGGATGCTGAAGTATAGGAAAGTTCAAGAAAATCGAAAAACAGGCAGGCCGGTTAACCTACAATCGACACGTGGCGGAGCAGGCCGAGCCGGCGAACGGCAACACGTACTCAACAACTAAAGCCTCACCGAAACTGAACAAATGCACCAAAGCAATGATCACAATTGCAAAAGTTAACACCGAAATGTTGATTTTGCGCGAGGGTCGTGCGGGTGGTGCAAGAGAGGAAATGTGACTCACCTGACAAGTCTGACCGGCACGATGCTCGACGTTCACGTTGCTGTGGATGGAGCAGGAGTGGGTGAAGCGGGCGG